GACCCGTCCCGCGACCCGCCGCGGCCCCGCCACCTGCCTGGGTCGCGGTCGCCGGTGTTTCTAATGGGGACAGCGCCTCCCGGGGGGTGATGGAATGGGGGCGCACTAAACATAGCTCCTGGCGCGGCGCGCGCGCACAGTAGGTGCTGCGTGCGGTGAGCAGTCCCGCGTTGCGTTCCTCGCCCGCAGAGCCGCGGCGTGGCCTTCCTTGCGGGGTTTTGCGCCTCTTTCGTGGCCTCAACTCAACCGCGCAGCTTGGAAAGTTTCGGCTGCCGGGTTTACGTCGCCTGCCCGCCGCCCTCGGGGGCGCTCGGCCGGGGTGGGGTGCGGGGTGCGGGAGCGCGGCGTGCGGGGGGGGGGTCTGGGGCGCCTCACCTGGCCGGAAGATAGCGACCGCGAGTGGGGGGGCTTGTGTTCAACAAGTCCCCACCGCCCCCGTCCCTGGGGAGAGTGACAGGGCGCTCCCCGCCCGCCTGGTCACGTCGAAGCCCCCCGCTGGCCCCCGATCCGGCCGCGGGGATACAGCGTGCCCCCCCCAGCCTGAGGCCTGGGTCCTACACCACAGGGGGCGCCCTCCCGGGCCGCACCTGCCCCGCGCCGGCCCCGGCCGCACCTCCTCCCCAGCCGGGAAGCGCAGCCTTTCTGCCCAGGAACCGCGCACCTCTGGAGGCCCGGGGCTTTCCAGGCGGAGCCGTGGCGTGGCGTGGGCCGGCGGGGCGCACACCTGGCCGCCCCGGGTGTGGGACGGGCTCCCCAAGGCCTGGCGGCTGCCGAATAATATGCCCCGACCAGCCGGGGGCCCCAGCTGGCTCGGACGCTCCAGCCTGGCGTCGTCAGGTCCCTTGGTTTGCCCTCAGCTGGACCGAAAGCCCGAGGTCTTCGGCGTGGTGGCGGCCACTGAGCCACCGAAGCCGCGACGCATCCGGATTCCGTGTCCGGGGCTCGCCTGGAACGCACCTCGTGCTCTGCTCCAGCTACTGGTGTGACGTCCGGAAAGAGGAAAGGGTTCTGATCTGAATCCTCTTCTCCCCAGTAGTCAGGTTCAATCATGATGATGATGATGATGATGATGATGATGATGATGATGATGATGATGATGATGGAGTTCTCGGTTGACAAAACGCAAAACTGTTTTGTTTTTCCTTTTTCTGAGTTAAAAAGCTCTTTGTCTCTCAAGCGAACCAGCTTTTGGCTCCAGATCTATTTCTGTTTCACTTTTGAAAGTGCCTGTAATTACTGAGCTCTTGAGGTTTTATTGGATAATGTGCCTAGGGAAGGCCCAGGGCCGCACCTCGGCCTGGCTCTGGGACCTCCTGGCCTTTCCTGTGCCTTTGGGTCCCGCTTTTCTGCTGTCTTTCAGGAGGTTCGTGACTGTGCATATGTCAGAAGTTTGGGAGCCATAGCTTTAGGAATCATAACCAGGAGGTTACTGGATCTGAGGAGAAACCTGACATGTGAGCCACCCGCCCCCATAGATTTGCCCCAAAGCTACCAGTAACACATTGATTTCCATCAAGCCCTCCCTCTTCAAGAGAGAAAGATTCTAAGAGAAATGAAGAACTTGAGGCACACCAGCTGCCTGCGGCTTTGCCTTTCATCCTAGCTACTCAGAGCTGAGATCTGAAGAGGGAGGTTCAAAACCAGCCTGAGCAGGAAAGTCTGCGACACTCTTGTCTCCAATGAACCGCTACAAAGCTGGAAGTGGAGCTGTGGTTCAAATGACAGACCATCTTCCTCGAGCAAAACCACCAAAGGATAGCACACAGGCCCTGAGTTCAAGCCCCAGTACCAGCACACACACGTACAAAAAGAACTCAGGCCAAATTGCTTCCAGTTCATCTCAGTGCTTCTTTCTAGGCACAAGGCTTTGCGGACGGAGGAAGCCACGCCATGGCAAAAGGAATGAGTTCACTTTGGTCCAGATCTCACGCAGCCCAGGGCCTCCGTCCTCCGGCTCTGTTCCTACCCGGATGTGCCATGGGTTTGTCTGCCAGGTTGTGTGGCTCACCTCCTAGCATCAAGACTGCAGCGTGGCCGAGGGCCGCTGTTCATCCAGTTCCACACAGGGCAGTACCCGCAACCACGCGAAGTACGCTGGGTGGTTCTCGCTCCATTATTCTCTGTCTTGCTGAGACTTGGTATGGCTATTCGTGGTAGAGTTCCATGCCACCCCACAATCCATTGATGATTCAGGAAACCCACAGGGAACTCTAGAGTGTGCTTGGTCAGAAGATTCAGCGTCTTGGCAGCTCCCTTTTTATCTAGATTGGCATCAGGTTTGTCTTAGGACTTTGCATTCCAGCATGTTCTGAACGCTGCTTGCTTGTTGTGGGAGAAGGCCTTTCGATTTATGAGTTGCTGGTCCAGGCTTGATAGGGGATTATGTATGTTTTGTTCATTTGTCAGAGCTGATATCATGGATTGGGGTGGGAGGGCTTCTGCAGAGTTTAGATGAACAGATCCTGTAGATTTGAATTGTGCTGTATTTGGGGCTTCCCATTCTCCCACAGTCTTCCTCTGTGTGTGTGTGTGTGTGTGTGTGCGCGCGCGCGCACGCACGCGCGTGTGTGCTGGTTGTGGATTTTGAACTCGGGACTTAGACGCTGTCCCTGAGCTTTTCTGCTCAAGGTTAGTGCTCTACCACTTGAGACCCAGCTCCACTTCTGGATTTTTGGTGCTTTTATTTCCTTCCTGGTCTGGCTTCAAACCATAATCCTCAGATCTCAGCTTCCTGAGTAGCAGGGATTACAGGTGTGAGCCACTGGTACCCGACAGTCTTACTGTTTTTATGTCACAGGCAAGGTGGAGCATGTGTGAATCTCATGTGGCTCTTGAACTTGTATCTCTCTGGGTTGAATTTCTCTCTCTCTCTCTCTCTCTCTCTCTCTCTCTCTCTCTCTTCCCCCTTCTCCTTTCCTCCCCTCCCTTCCTCCCTCCCTCCCTCCCTCACTTCCTTCCTTCCTTCTCTTTGTTTTTTTTTTTTTCTGCTGGTCCTGGTCCTTAAACTCAGGGCCTGGGCACTGGTCCCTGAGCCTCTCTGTGCTCAAGGCTAGCGCTCTGCCACTTGAGCTACAGCACCACTTTGGGCTTTTTCTGTTTACGTGGTACTGAAGGATTGAACCCAGGTGTCATGCATGCTAGGCAGGCACTCTACCACTAAGCCACATTCCTGGCCCTGGGTTGAATTACTAATAGAGGCGAGATGGAGGGACAGTTGCACATGGAAATTAGGGCTCTTCTAATGCCCTTTGCTGGGTGGTGGTGGTGGTGGTAGTGTTTTTATCAGTCCATTTTTCACACACACACACACACACACACACACACACACACACACACACACACACACACACACATACACACACACTGGCTGGGCTCTGTTGGTGCAGGTTGAAAGATAACTTCAGGTAATCAATACAGTTTGACAGGTGAAACATTTCTTAGGTGCTGATGAGCGAGGTGTAGTCTAGAGAATTTTTTTTTTATCATCTGCAAAGCACAGTAAATCCTTTGGAGAGCCCTACCTTGGCCATGTCGTTTCAAGTAAAATTGAATTTCAGAGGCAAAGCTTCACATCTGTGTATTTATGAGGCATGACTAACTCAAAGACACCCTTCCCGGAGACAGTGGCTCTCCCCCGCCTGTCTGTGCAGGAAAGAGGACCTGGGGCTGTTTTCCTCAACCTCAGACTGGTACACCCCCGTGCTCGCTGAGCCAGGGTCCCTGCGTTCATGTATGCATACATATTTACACACAAACGTGTGTGTGTGTGTGAAAATGTATCTCTGTGCCAATATTGGGGCTTGTATTCATGCCTGGGCTTTTTTTTTTTTTTCCCCTCAAGGGTATCTCACTTGAGCCACAGCTTACTTCCAGCTTATTGTGGAGACAAGAGTCTCATGGGCTTTCCTGCCCATGCTGGCCTCAAACTTCAATCCTCAGATCTCAGCCTCCTGAGTGAC